CCACCCACTTCCTCATCCTGGATCCAGGCTTGGTAGCCATGAAAGCCAGAACCACTGTGATGGTTTTTGCTAACACACAGGAAACAGCCACTGAGAAGATTATGCCAAAAACAGTCTGTCGGAGCAGACATGTCACCACCTGAGGCTGGCCAATAAATAGCAATGCACAAATGAAACAGAGAAGGAGGGAAATGAGGAGAGTGTAGGTCAGGATCCAGTTGTTGGCTTTGACGATGGGAGTGTGATGGTGCTTCATAAATGTACCCAGCACAAGTGCTGTAATGAAAGCAAAGGAAAGAGCAAAAGAGGTTAAACTGATACCCAAAGGGTCTTCATAGGACAAGAAACTTGTACTCTTGGGAATACATAAATTCCTATTTCTGTTTGGATATTTTTTGTCTTCACACTTATAACAGTCAATCATATCTGAAAAAGAAAATATTTTGTATTAATCTCAAAAATACGACGTTTCCTAAACATACCGTAACTTTTCCTTCTTTTCTTTTTCTTATTCCATTTAAAAAACAAAGACAAAAAATGGTTTCATGAATATACAATTAAAATTTACAATTGTGAATGATGGAGTCCATCCTGCTTAGGCAGCCAATCAGAAGTACATAATTAACTGAGTGAAAATGCAGAAGGGTTGGAAATGCTTCCTGATTGACTTCACATTATCAAGAACTAACCAAGGGTTTCCAGTCAATATTCTGTAGCCCCCTCAATAAAGCATAATAGAGGGAATGTGTCACTGTATACTTATGTGTCTAGTAACCCACTCTTATTAATCAGTAAATTAAAAATAATTCAATCTTAGCAAATTTCTGTATGTGCAGATTGGAAGTTAGCTCTTTGCTGGATTTCTCAAAATATTATGACTCGATTACCTGAAGCTTGAAGTTTTAAAATATACATCCAAATAATAATAATAATAATAATAATAATAATAATTTATTATTTGTACCCCGCCCATCTGGCTGGGTTTCCCCAGCCACTCTGGGCGGCTTCCATAGAGACAAAAAATACAGTAAAATATCACAGATTAAAAGCTTCCCTGAACAGGGCTGCCTTAAGATGCCTTCTAAATGTCAGGTAGTTATTTATCGCTTTGACATCTGATGGGAGGGCGTTCCACAGGGCGGGCGCCACTACCGAGAAGGCCCTCTGCCTGGTTCCCTGTAGCTTTGCTTCTCGCAATGAGGGAACCGCCAGAAGGCCCTCGGCGCTGGACCTCAGCGTCCGGGCAGAATGATGGGGGTGGAGATGCTCTTTCAGGTATACTGGGCCGAGGCCGTTTAGGGCTTTAAAGGTCAACACCAGCACTTTGAGTTGTGCTCGGAAACGTACTGGGAGCCAATGTAGGTCTTTCAAGACCGGTGTTATGTGGTCTCGGCGGCCGCCCCAGTCACCAGTCTAGCTGCCGCATTCTGGATTAATTGTAGTTTCCGGGTCACCTTCAAAGGTAGCCCCACGTAGAGCGCGTTGCAGTAGTCCAAGCGGGAGATAACTAGAGCATGCACCACTCTGGCGAGACAGTCCGCGGGCAGGTAGGGTCTCAGCCTGCGTACCAGGTGGAGTTGGTAGACAGCTGCCCTGGATACAGAATTGACCTGCGCCTCCATGGACAGCTGTGAGTCCAAAATGACTGCCAGGCTGCGCACCTGGTCCTTCAGGGGCACAGTTACCCTATTCAGGACCAGGGAGTCCTCCACACCAGCCCGCCCCCTGTCCCCCAAAAACAATACTTCTGTCTTGTCAGGATTCAACTTCAATCCATTAGCCGCCATCCATCCTCCAACCGCCTCCAGGCACTCACAAAAATAAGTTTTATGAATGTAAATGCACAATTGAAAAGAACTTGGATGGATACTGCTAAACACATATTGAGAGAAAATGAAGATTTGCATACATTTTTAAGAGGATTTTTAAAAAATCAAATTAATGAAGCTGTGTGTAAAAATATGTTTACTAAACGATTAGGTCCATTGCCACTCAAATCTTTCTATCAAGTTTCAAAAACTGGAAACAAGAACCTTGGTGAATATATTGTTTCCTGTTGATATTTTTCTTTGTTTAGGGAACCATGTATAAATTTGTGCATATATTTCTTACCCTCCTGGGTTGTAATCTTCCCTTCTGGACATGGGGTGCAGTCATAGCAGCAAAATGGCTCCCCCTCTTTCATTTTCTTGCTAGAACCAGGATGGCAACTGTCGGAGCATACAGATTTAGGCAGTGTCTAATTCAGAAATGATAGAGAGAGAAAATGCGATTCTCAGAATAATAATAGCCATAATCCTCAAGTTTCTGAGACATTTGTCCCTATTTTCAAAAAGGGGGAAAGAGAGGACCCAAATAATTACCACCCAGTCAGTCTGGCATCAATACCAGGGAAGATTCTGGAGCAGATTATTAAGCAAACAGTCTGTGAGCACCTAGAAAGGAATGCTGTGATCACCAATAGTCAGCATGGATTTCTGAAAAACAAGTCATGTCAGACTAAACTGATCTCGTTTTTTGACAGAATTACAAGCCTGGTAGATGAAGGGAATGCAGTGGATGTAGCCTACCTTGATTTCAGCAAGGCATTTGACAAGGTGCCCCATGATATTCTTGTAAAGAAGCTGGTAAAATGCGGTCTTGACTATGCTACCACTCAGTGGATTTGTAACTGGCTGACTGACCGAACCCAAAGGGTGCTCATCAATGGTTCCTCTTCATCCTGGAGAAGAGTGACTAGTGGGGTGCCACAGGGTTCTGTCTTGGGCCCGGTCTTATTCAACATCTTTATCAACGACTTGGATGATGGACTCAAGGGCATCCTGATCAAATTTGCAGATGACACCAAACTGGGAGGGGTGGCTAACACCCCAGAGGACAGGATCACACTTCAAAACGACCTTGACAGATTAGAGAACTGGGCCAAAACAAACAAGATGAATTCTAACAGGGAGAAATGTAAAGTATTGCACTTGGGCAAAAAAAATGAGAGGCACAAATACAAGATGGGTGACACCTGGCTTGAGAGCAGTACATGTGAAAAGGATCTAGGAGACTTGGTTGACCACAAACTAGACATGTGCCAACAGTGTGATGCGGCAGCTAAAAAAGCCAATGCAATTCTGGGCTGCATCAATAGGAGTATAGCATCTAGATCAAGGGACTGAGGGCACATTCTTTCACCTTTGGTGGACATGCCCAAGGATTAAGGCTTTCTGGGAAATGATATATAACGAATTGAAAAGGGTATTTATATATACCTTCCTGAAGAAACCAGAAGCCTTTCTTCTGGGCATGGTCGGCCAATTGGTGCAAAGGAAGGATAGAACTTTTTTTATGTATGCTACAACAGCAGCAAGAATACTCATTGGAAAGTACTGGAAGACACAAGAATTACCCACCCGAGAAGAATGGCAGATGAAAGTGATGGACTACATGGAACTGGCTGAGATGACTGGCAGAATTCGAGACCAGGGAGAAGGGTCGATGGAAGAAGATTGGAAAAAATTCAAAATATATCTTCAAAAATATTGTAATATAAAAGACTGTTAGAAAGATGTTGGAAAAAGAAAATTAGGTCGTTTTGGTAGATATGATATAAAGGATTAAGCAAAAATGAGTTGATGAAATTGATGAAACAGAGGATGATTAACTACATTATACTAAATTAAAATACGTAAATGAAAATAAGGTTAGAAGGATTTGCTGGAAATACGATCTGAATTAGAATACAAAATTGGGAGGTGAGAGGAGGTCATGGAAATAAGTAAAGGGAAAAGGTTATGTAAAGGTTTAATCTGTTTTTGTTCTATTTTAACTCAATGCATTTTTATATCTTTTGTTTCGTCTTTTTTTTATTCTATTTTATTGTTCAATTTTTTCTTGTTATATTTTCGCTTTGTTATGGTTAAATTTTTCTTTGTATTCTGTATTGTTTTTTCTTCTTTTTTTGTAATTTTAAATTTGGAATAAATATCATTTTTTTTTTAAAAAAAGACAAACTGGAACGTGTCCAGAGGAGGGCAACCAAAATGGTCAAAGGCCTGGAAACGATGCCTTATGAGCAACGGCTAAGGGAGCTGGGCATGTTTAGCCTGGAGAAGAAAAGGTTAAGGGGTAATATGATAGCCATGTTCAAATATATAAAAGGATGTCACATAGAGGAGGGAGAAAGGTTGTTTTCTGCTGCTCCAGAGAAGCGGACACGGAGCAATGGATCCAAACTACAAGAAAGAAGATTCCACCTAAACATTAGGAAGAACTTCCTGACAGTAAGAGCTGTTTGACAGTTGAATTTGCTGCCAAGGAGTGTGGTGGAGTCTCCTTCTTTGGAGGTCTTTAAGCAGAGGCTTGACAACCATATGTCAGGAGTGCTCTGATGGTGTTTCCTGCTTGGCAGGGGGTTGGACTCGATGGCCCTTGTGGTCTCTTCCAACTCTATGATTCTATGATTCTATGATTTTTGAAGTAGCAAAGGACAGTCCCTGCACTCCTGATTGAGCCTCCTATCTGAGTGATATTTGTTGTGGGAGCGGGAGACGGTTCTCCAAAGAGAGCTTTTGCCAAGCACTTTAATATAATATACATCTTTCTTAGCAGTTCAGGATCTCCACATTTCTTTTTAAGCAGACAGTGGGGGAGAAAGAAATCTGCATTTGCAGGAGAAGATCCTACTCATTAGCTGATGAACAAATTAGCGTATCATAGAAATGGAGAGTTGGAAGGGACCCAGGGGATCATCTAGTGCAGTGGTGTCCAAACTTTTTTCAAAGAGGGCCAGATTTGATGAAGTGAAGGGCCATGGGGGCCGACCAAAGGGCCAACCAAAGTTGTTGACCTTTTTCAAAGAATGAAATTCAGCTTTTTTTAGGATTTTACCCAAGGAAATAAACTACCACAGGGGCCAGATTAAACTGACTGGTGAGCCGGATTAGGCCCCCAAAATGGACTTTGGACATGCCTGATCTAGTGCAACCCCCTGCAATGCAGGAATATGCAGCTGTCCCATACAAGGATAGAACCTGTAACCTTGGCATTTTCAGCACTATACTTCAACCAACTGAGCTATCATGACCCCTGTCTTATATCATCATAATTTCTCTGGAACTTCTTAAGTGCACTTGAAATGCCACACAGGTATCAACATTGCCATTATAATTGCATTGCACATTATAATTGCATTGCACATTAGAATTGCATTGCACATTCTGGAAAATGTTCTTGTTGAAGAAATTATTTGTTTTGCCATGCTTATTGATCAACCTGACTTGTTAACTAAGTGAAGATGCCTGTAGCCGTGTAAAATAGATGGAATCGCTGAAAAGCATTTAAAAGAAGGTAGCCTCTTCTTTTAACATGGTTGTTTGAAAGATCATTTATTGAAGCAGCTTGCTTCATTCAGCAGTTGTATTTTTATTCTTAAATCAGTGGTAAGGGAGAGATGAGGCAGGCTACTGAAGAATCCGGGGTCTTCCTGTCTTGCTGCAATCATCTCCCCTCCCCCCCCGGTCTAAGAACAAAAGAGGGACGAAGAGAGCAGAGCAGAGACAGGCAAGGTGATGAAGTATCAGATTGCTTGGGAAAAACCGGGGGGGGGGGAGGAACTGTGGGAAGATAGGGATCTTCAGTCCCTGCAACTGCCTCGTAGGGGCAAGATCCAACAGGACTAGTTGCTGTGCACACTAGGCCTGGCATTTGGAGCTATCTTGTTTCTTTGAATAAAGAGTTAACTTCATGGGCACCTTGTGAGTTATTGTTGCCTTGCCCTTGACAACTGCTTCTGACAGTTTGTCAGCAGAACCGCTTCTGCTATTTTCAATCCCAACAACAGCTAACAGTTTTAATAAGGGCTGAAAAATGCTAAGCAAAATAACATTTGTATATTATTCAGGAGTGTTCATTCAAAATTGGAATCTTCTGAAATGGCTGATGATTACCTCCTACCTGGTTAAACCAGTTATGCCATGTTATGATATCCTCACTGATAGCAAGTGCTTGGTCTGGAGGAACCTGGGGATCAATCTTCCCAACTTTCACTCTCTGAAAGGATTGATTTGAGAAAACAATCCAGTTGGTGACATCAAATCCAGCTACAATTGCCCCATTCTGGTCAAAGGAAATCTTGTCCCCAGCACTGTTGTTAAATGAGATACGCCTCAGAAAATGATGGAGCTAGATTGAAAAGGAAATGGCAGTTCAGGAAGGAATAATGTTGCATTGCATATTTAAGGCTGGAGATTCTAAATATCCATTCTGGATAGAAGCCATCTTTTTTCTTTTCTTTTCCCCCTAGAAAACGACAGACTTTAAATATAAGTTTGAAGCCACAAATGTATCACTTTTTGAAGTTCATTTTCAAATACAGATTGTCAATAATTATGGCATCCTGTTTCAAAAATGCACAAACAACCATAAAAGCACTGATAGGTTATTGAAAGTGATGGCTCCATGGGTTTCATGGTATATACACTGTGGGTTTACATATCATTCTTTCTATACTGCAGGTTCGGAGGTAAATATGGATCCTTATCCATCATCCACATGCAAAAGGATGGTATGAGCAGGTTTGGGGGAGCCTCAAGAGTCCCATGGACTGCAAGAAGATCAAATGTATCCATTCTTCAGGAAATCAGCCCTGAGTGCTCACTGGAAGGACAGATTCTGAAGCTGAGGTTCCAATACTTCGGCCACCTCATGAGAAGAGAAGACTCCCTGGGAAAGACCCTGATGCTGGGAAAGATTGAGGGCAAAAGGAGAAGGGGATGACTGAGAACAAGATGGTTGGACAGTGTTCTCGAAGTTACCAACATGAGTTTGACCAAACTGCGGGAGGCAGTGGAAGACAAGAGTGCCTGGCGTGCTGTGGTCCATGGCGTCACGAAGAGTTGGGCATGACTAAACGACTAAACAACAACAGGAAGATTTGCAGAGGTACAAAAGAAGAATTTAGGGAAGGAAACACTGAGGAGGGTACAAACCCCCAAACATCCCAATGAGGACTGAGAACATTTAGCAGCCAAAGAATGCTTACTATTTGTTAGGGAGGAAAACTGAAAAACTAGGTAGGAGAACGGAAATGCCATGGTATTTAATAATAAAAAATAAATACGCAAATAAATATAATTGATATGTTCATACACCCCAGTATCTAAGCAAATCCTGAGGTCCTTGAACTCACCATTACCCATAAAGAATGTAGACCAATTTTTGTGTGTGGGTCCTTTCAGGTAGTAAATGGGCATTGAATATAACTCAAGTTCATGGAACATTCTATATAGAAATACTTGATTTTACTTCAAAAATAAAATAGAATGTACAAGAAAGGGTTTGAGTACATAGAACTTGCATACACAAATAGGACAATAGTGTACAGTATGTGTAAGGAATTATGCATTTCAAAATCTTTTTACAATTCCAACAAGAAAGCGTGGAGGAAAAATACAATTTTGTCTGCATCTTGATAACCAATTTGTGAACTGTGAACAAATATGTGAACTGAAACACCAATTTCCTGCCCAATTCACACTTCTCTGAATTTTGTGGTGCAGTTCATTTGTGAAAAGAATATATATTATATTTAAATGAAATTGCTTGGGAAAATGTATATACTAGTCAGACCTATTTGCAAAAAAAACACAAACATAAGGTTTTCACAAATATAGCCACATTATCTGAGGAATGTGGAGAAGAAAATTTATTTTTAAAACTGTAAAAAACATCTTGATGAAGGTGGAATGAAAAATACAGACTAGAACTCAGCTGGAATAAAACTCATATTTTCATTTTCGCTGTAGATTTCTACTTCAATTTTCAAACATTCCCTCTTCGGTGGTACACAGTGAAGAGGCAGGGCAAATAATGCGGATGAGGATGCTCAGTCCCTTACCTGCCACAGCTGTTGATTCTGAAGCTTCAGTTCTCCACAGCCTGCCATTGATCTGTGTTTGATTTGGGATGTAGACACGGCATGCAAAGCTTGGGCCACAACATAAACAGCATTGTAGATGTTGTAGCTGTGGCTGGTCATGCTCATTTCAAAAAAAGGACCCGGAAGATTCTCCAATCTCTCTTTCCCGGTGCAGATATCTCCCTCCACACTGCCAGTAACTTGATTTGTGAATACACAGCCAAATGCCTGTTGCCAGAAGTCCATGATAAAACCATCTCCTTTAGAGCTAGAAGGGTTTTTGTTCTCAACAAATTTGTGAAATCCTGGTAGATCACAAGAATGAGCTGTGAAGGAGAGAGCCCCATGGAGTATGTTTGTATCCCAAGTCCTTTGATAAACAAATGATGTTAGCTCCATCTGGCCTGTCATAATCCACACTTTACCATTTGGCTTACTTGACATTTGTTCTTGTTCTGACAGGTACGGCAACCATCTGAAAAAAGGCACAGCATACGATTCCCCATAGACCACAACTGCATTGGCTTTGCTGTTAATTATATTATCATGAATTTTTGCCCCCTTGTTAAACAAAGCATTAACTTCTGTGATAAAAGTGAATTTCTGAGTTCTTTCAGTGAAGGCAAAACAAATACCACTCTGGGAGAAAAGTGGAACTACAGTTTGTACAAATCTATCTCCATATTCATCATTGCTGGTAAGGATCCCAATCCATGTCCACCTGAAATGCAGAAGGAAATAGAGAATCCCCTGATACTGGAGGTCTTCCTTGGGGCTCATCTGGTAGAAATAAAGTCCTGGGGTTTTATCATTCATCAGTGGTGCAGATCCATATATGAGCTAAAGAGAAATGTGGGGAAGGAAGAAAGTGACAGAAGCGATAACCACTTTAACATGAAACATGTTGTTATAGCAACAATTCTTCCAATGGTGCTACAAAACTGGTATGTATAGAGAGTGGAAGCAGGGGCAGACTTTTGTAATATGGTGCCCTGAGCAAGGACAAAATTTGTTGTCACCCTAAATATTTCTTATTTTCACAATAATTCTTTAATTATTTATTGTTGTTTCCTCAGCTTGGTGTGAGGAAACCACTCACACCCACCTATATTTGTGTCGCTGGTGGAAGCAGAGAGAACAGTGTCATGTGTAAGGATTTCCAATAGATTCAAGGTGTAGGAGATAATTGCAACAATACTGAGGACTTCTTGGCTCAAAAGTCTCACTCTTTAGAGACATAATTGTAAAAAAGATGACGTATATATATCCTGAAGCAGAGCCAAAAGTTTTCAAGAGATAAGAAGTTCCCTGAATGCTCCCCAACTTGTCATTGCAGTGGTTGAAATGAAAAATAAAAACTTCTGCCTCAGGAGTAGGCTGCATTTTTAAAAAATCTCCCATCCAACATTCACGCAAAAAAAATGTCCCTCTGGTTATTTGGAATGCACAGATTTGTTTTTCCAAACTACATCATACAACATAGATGGAGTAAATCCCTATTTTGTATACCAAGAGAGAAATATCCCACCTGTGGAACCTTATAGATATCCAATATTGTTGCCACTTGAAGGGAAGTCTGGGAGTCCAGTCCCCCAATGATGGCTAAAAGGTTTTGCTTGATGTCACAGATGTAGTTGGGGACAAATGTTTCCAGTGAGGATGTGAGTAACATTGTGGCATGATAGGTCCATTTGGCATTGAAATAGCTGTCATAGATGTGGAAGCCTAGAGTGACATTGGGTAGAATCTGAGGATTTTCATTGATCTCCTTCACTGCAAATTGCAAGGCCAGGATGTTCTGGTAATGCTTAGGCACCACACTAGAAAGAGAGTTGCATTCCTTATCAGAAAAGGATGCCACACTTTGTAAATGCTTCACAGCTATGTTCTACATTGAGTTCCAGTGCTTGTCATTAGGTCCAATAGGCAGCTGCTCATGGGGCAGACCTCAAAGGAGTGATTCTGTCTTCACATGAGAGGAATACTGAACATTTAGAAAACAAGTGATAGATTTCCTACAACCAGGGCTTTTTTCAGCTAAAGTTTGCCGGAACTCAGTTCTAGCACCTCTTAGGTGGGTTCAATTGCCATTATAAGAGAACATGGGTGGCATTCATGCTGAGTTCTGGCACCTCTTTTCCTAGAAAAATAGCAATGCCTGCAATGTT